ACGAAGCGACGTTCCGGCACATTTCATTGCGTGACGACCGTCACTTAAAGGAAACTTAAGCGAGCAGAAATAAATAGCCCACTGGATCAGGGACAATTACAAAAAAAGGGATGATTAGAGCTCACGTTCAGGGCTCCTTACTTCTAAAGAGACCGACAGAATCCCCGGATGTTAGTTATTCTTTTACACTGCTTTATGAAAATCCAATCGGTGACAATGAAATTATGGGATTGAATAAACATTAGGAAAACGTTTAACTACATCAATTGCATTAAAGTAATACATAAATAATAAATAAATGTATTTTTCACTTCCTTTTCTATTTGAGGAATATAAAAATATACAGTCAACTAGCAGGAAGGGGGTCGTGGCCATACAAAGGCTGCCCTGGGAAAATACCAAAATGGAAGAAGATGGGCAGCGGTGGAGTGGTGTGGGACTTCTGAGTTAAAATTCTCATAACATTAACCACTTGACCAATACCGCCCTAGGAAGTGTTGTGTAATGCCAGTCGAATAAGAAGCTCATACTAAAAATAATCCATCTATTTTAACCTTGGCTGTTGTAGAATACACGTGTCAAGTCATTAGAAAGCTATTTCGCTTCTGCCAAGGAACGTAAACCTTGTGTGTGTAATTACTAAAAAAAAACAAAAAAAAAACCATGATGAAATCAACGACAAAATCAACAGAACGACATCAGTATTAGTGAGGGACAATGAGCGAAAAGACTGTCGTAAACAGTGGCGCTCGTGCATCTACTCACTATGCTTGCAACCTTAGCCCAAGTGAATCCTCTATCTTCTGTTTGACTCTGCTCGCAACATTCCGATCTTCTTTCTGCTGTTTTACAAACAAGCAGGTGTGATGGGTGGAATAACTTAAGGGATGATCAAACTAAGACAAGACATGAAGGTATGAAATTCTGGTCAGAAGACTTGCTCACTTAGATGGCGTTGGGTGTCATGGATGGGGGCCTTAGGATCATTGTAATCAATGGTTAAAGATACTGAATGATATGACCGAGTATCGAACACAGTGGCGCTTGTGCATTCTCTCAATTCCTTTGCAACCTTAGCCTTCATTAATTCTCCATTTTCACTATGACACTAGCTTGAACATTCCACTCCTCTTTTTATTCCTTCATTCAAATGGGTATTCATGAGACAGTAACTGAAACCGGCACCGGAAAGTGCATGGCTAATGGTTGCAAAAACACAGATGTGAGGTAAAACAGGGCGACTGGTTCGGGCTCAGGCACGAGATGTTACCAATCAAACATCCCCATCTATTACAGTTTCAGTTTTTACAACTTTTAACTGTGCGGGGCACCATTAGTCTGTACCGAAAATTCATCTTTGATAGACTAAACTACATGTTTTCCTTACATTAAACTGGGTTTTATAGATACACCAAACTAACAGAAAGAGAAAGGAAAAGGCAGTAGAGGGGTAGAAATCTCGAACCTTACCTCTTCATTCAAATCAGAAAGCTCAGTCTCTGCCCTAGGCACACGAGGAATCCACGATAGTTTTCGAATCATTGTGCTAGTACTGGGCATTTGGATACGCTCGAACAAACCACACTCATCGGAATGTTCCGATGGTTCCATCCTTTGACTATCCGGATTTCGCAAACGCCAAACATCAATAAACGATGAACGCCCTGCGGCGAACAAATATCTCCCGGTTCTTCATGAAATAGGGAAAAAGGCAAAATCATATGAGCAACAATAGCCCTGAGCAATATTTTGATCAACTTTTTGAATAATTCGAAACGAAACAGTCACATCTATTCGTAATGTCCAATCTCAAGGTTATCACAGTCACTGAGCTCGGTTAGCCGTTAGATGAACACTCCTGATAAACGTTTGAATAATCATTGTGAAAGCACTGAGAGCAAATCATTCTAATTATATTTTACCAAGAGGAGGCGTATAAAGCACACACACCTAGTTGTGGCGGTGGTCACCGGATCAATTTGGTATTGAGGTGTATTGGGCACCTTGGACGTTTGACCCCGTCCAAAGGGCGTATGANACACCGGATCCCAGTGGACTGCGGTTTTCACACCGCCCCGCTGCCTTACAGGTTAGGCCTTGGCTAGTCGAAGGCTCCGGTTGTGGATTCCCCAATAAAATTCACCTCCCTTGACCTGGCAGTATTCAGCCCATATACAAATGATGGAGCATCTTTCTTTGTATAAAGATTATTGTACCATGATTTGTTAGGCACACAGTCTGGACTCAGACGTATGTGAAAATTAAAATATGTTACCACTTACCCCATGCTGATTTTAGAATCGCAAAGTAGATCTTCCTAGCTAATCGTTTCAACCCACTTGTTTTCTGGTCTCTTAGAACATGCAAAACTGCTTATTAACATTGACTTCATCAAAATATTCAGAATGANNNATGACAAGTTTCCTATTTCACCATAAGCATATCAACCTACATTTAGTGTCGTTCTGGGTCCTCCAAATCACTAAACGATCAGGGGTCGCGTGTTAGCATTTTGATCGCATTACGCTGTCAAGCCCAAAGGTTATGCAACGAAATTGTTAACTGTAATATAGCAGTAGAAATACATTGAAGATCACATCGAGTCCACCAAAGCATTTCGGTATCACATTTACGTACAATGTTCAATCCATCCAATCAACCTCAGAGTTCAAAATGAATAATTGACCGGAAGAAATGAAGACCGTACATAGAGATCCTGTTTGAAGAGCGGTCAGGCGCAAGTAAAACAACACTGAAAAAACGTATTTTTGCGATCATCAAGTGCTGCTGAAAAGTGCGAATATTGAGAGCAGTGAGTACATTAAAGTAGTATGAATCATTTAGTAGACCAGTACGAACAACAGTCTTTCACACATCCTCCCCAGCTATAGCTGATAGCTATATGGTCA